GGGGGTCCCACAGCCCCCCATGTCCGTGCCCCCCACTCCCATCCCTTTTCCCCCCAGGTCCGGGGGTCCCGGGCCAAGGCCCCGCCGGACCGGGCGCTGCTCAGCTGCCGCTGCAGCGCGGCGCCGTTCGCGGGGGGCGGCGAGCGGCGGCGGCGCCCGGCGCAGGGCGGCAGCGACCGGCGGGCGGCGGAGCGAGCGCTGCTGCTGCGGGGCGTGCTGGAGGGCGCCGTGCTGGCACAGCTCTACCCGCGCTCACAGATCGACGTGCACGTCCAGGTGAGCGGTTTGGGGGTGTCCTGGGGGATTTCGGGGTGTCCTTGGGGGGATTGGGGTGTCCTGGGGGGTTTGGGGGTGCCCTGCTGCTGCGGGGCGTGCTGGAGGGCGCCATGCTGGCACAGCTCTACCTGCACTCACAGATCAACGTGCACGTCCAGGTGAGCGGTTTGGGGGTGTCCTGGGGGGTTTGGGGGTGCCCTACTAGCCCAACTCTACCCGCGCTCACAGATCGACGTGCACGTCCAGGTCAGGGCTTTGGGGGGGATTTGGGGGAGTTTGGGGTGTCCTGGGGGGATTTGGGGGGTCCTGGGGGTTATTGTGGGTGTTTTGGGGGATTTTGGGTCACCCCTTGTCCCCCCAAGGTGCTACAGGCAGATGGGGGTGAGCTGGGGGCCAGCGTCAGCGCGGCCAGGCTGGGGCACACAGGATCTGTGGGGTGTTTTGGGTGTTTCTGGGCTGTTTTGGGTGGATTTTGGGGTGTTTTGGGTGTTTTTGGGGTGTCTCTGAGTGCTCTCCCCCCCAGGTGCTGCAGGCGGCGGGGGTGAGCTGGGGGCCAGCGTCAGTGCGGCCGGGCTGGCGCTGCTGGGGCACCCGGGGCCTGTGGGGTTTGGGGTGTTTTTGGGTGGATTTGGTGTGGATTTTGGGTGGATTTGGGGTGCTTTGGGGTGCCCCTGACCCCGCTCTCCCCCCAGGTGCTGCAGGTGGACGGCGGCGAGCTGGGGGCCAGCGTCAGCACGGCCGGGCTGGCGCTGCTGGGGCACCCGGGGCCTGGGGGGTTTTTGGGTGAATTTTGGGTGGATTTGGGGTGCTTTGGGGTGCCCCTGACCCCGCTCTCCCCCCAGGTGCTGCAGGCGGACAGCGGCGAGCTGGGGGCCAGCGTCAGCGCGGCCGGGCTGGCGCTGCTGGGGCACCCGGGGCCTGGGGGGTTTTTGGGTGGATTTTGGGTGGATTTTGGGAGTTTGGGGTGCCCCTGACCCCGCTCTCCCCCCAGGTGCTGCAGGCGGACGGGGGTGAGCTGGGGGCCAGCGTCAGCGCGGCCGGGCTGGCGCTGCTGGACGCGGGCGTGGCGCTGCGCGGGGCCGTGCTGGCCGGCTCCGCCGGGCTGGCCGAGCCCCCGGCCGGGCCCCCGGCGGCCCTGAGCGACCTGAGCGCGGCCGAGGAGGCGGCCGGGGGCCCGCGGCTGGCCGTGGCCACGGTGGCGGGCAGCGGGCAGCTGGCCCTGTGCCAGCTCAGCGCCCGGCTGCACCGGGAGCGGCTGCGGCCCGTGCTGGACGCCGCCCTGGCCGCCTGCCGGGGGCTGCACGCCGTGCTGGATGGCGTGGTCAGGGCCCGGCTGCGCCAGGACACCGCCATGCAGCAGTGACCAGCACGGTGACCACTGCCGGGACATGGCCATGGAGCAGTGACCAGCACGGTGACCGCCCGGGACACGGCCATGGAGCAGTGAGTGACCACCCGGGACATTGCCATGGAACAGTGAGTGACC